ATCTCTGCTTTTTAAGATGCTGTCTAGGTTTGTCATCGCTTTTCTCCCAAGAAGCAGGTGTCTTTTAATTTTGTGACTGCTGTCACCATCTGCAGTGATCATGGAGCCCAAGAAAGTATAATCTCTCACTGCCTCCATTTCTTCCCCTTCTATTTGCCAGGAGGTGATGGGACCAGTGGCCATGATCTTAGGTTTTTTTGATGTTGAACTTCAGAGCATATTTTGTGCTCTCCTCTTTCACCCTCATTAAGAGGTTCTTTAATTCCTCCTCACTTTCTGCCATCAAAGTTGTGTCATCTGCATATGTTGATATTTCTTCCGGCAATCTTAATTCTGGCTCTTAGTAACTACTCATTGGTAAAGCAACCGCTTCCTTTCAGGCTTTCCTTACTTACTGCTGCTTCTCCAGGTTCAGCCTGTATTGGAATGAGTTAGAATGTGCTAGTGCTAACTTATTGGCTTCATCTTGGCTGCATGTAAAACCTACACTTGGAATGGCTTTGTTTGTCATGAATAATAAAGCTTACATTTCCTTTACCCTTTCAAAAAACAGTCTTACCTGGGGGGGGGAATGCCTGACACCAGGATTCCAATCTCCCAACCCTCAGACTTCAATCGAGACCACATGGCATTAATTGCATGAATGCAATTCACACCCATAGGTTTTTGTTTTTTGTTTTGTTATGCAGATAGTAGCTATGATAGCTGCTTAAGGGCAGTGGATGGTAGGGAGAGAGCACTTCATGTTTTATGTCCCTGCCATGGTCCTAACAACATCAACTTTCCAAAGCTACTACTTGCATTTCAATGAAGGCAAGGAAAGAAAGAAAGAGCTAAAAGTCCCCCCTGACCCAATTTCTGAGGTGGTACCAGGGTTACTATTAACATAGCAAAAAAATATATGCACATAAGTTCCATTCATGCAATTAGCATTGGGTCTTGTTTGGCCTTCAGTATCAGACAATGCAGAGATTTGGACAAGGGGGATCGAAAGCAGGGAAATCTCATGGACCTTTGACACCCAGACTGGGGATCCCCACCTTCACCCTTAGCACACAAGGATCCTAGCAGCAGGCCTGGCTGACTTACCAGTGGTGACTCTTGGAACTCTAGATAATTCTGAGAGCAGTCCTGGCTGGACTGGAGGTGGAATTCTTGCACCACTATTTTCACGTGTTGCTCAGGAGGAGCATCAATAACCCATCTGCAGTACGTAAAGGGAGGATATGCTTCTGGAAAGTAGGGCGATGTTGCTGTTTGGCTGGTTGAAGTTGCATTAAATACACCTCCGCACAGTCCTGTTAAAAGCAACAGCAACACAGATTAGACAAGCTTGCTGGGTTATAAGCACTCTTTCATGGAGGAACAAGGCTATCAGTAGCTACTAGGGATGGTGGTTACGTATAACTTCCAGCATCCGAGGCAGGATGCCTCTGAATACCAGTAGCTTCAATTCTCACAAGGGGAGGGTGGTGTTGCGCTCCAGTCCTGCCTGCAAGTTTCCAATAGGAATCTGGCTGGCCCCTGTGGGAATTGCTTAAGGGGTTTATTTTGCAATAAAATGGCATATGAATTTAGTTAAATGAATAAACACAGAACAAGGATGCTGGACTAGATGGGCATTGCACTGATCCAGCAAAGATCTTTTTGTGTACTTCAACTCAGAATCATAAGCTGTTGACCTAAAGAGATATTTATCTGAAAGCAACAAGACATTGAGGTACAAATGTTCAGTGCCAAGAGACAAAATGTGCAGATTCAAAATAGATCAATTATATCATGATGGGTTTTTAATTATTTTATTTCTATGACATTGGAGTTGCTTTTCTCTTTAAAATACTTGAAGCAATGGGCAAGTTTGTGTTTTCTAAATCAGTGGTCTAACAGTCCTAACCAAGCCCCACCTTCTAACCCCTCTGATCTCCCCAAATCCTCTCCATCCAGACAGATACATTTCAGTCACCATCTCTTCCATCAAGTCTTATCTTCTCCAGGAAGCTCCAGATTCTCTCTATAATTGGTTTCCTAATTTGATAACACTGAGCTATATAATTGCTGATTTTTAAAGTTTTGAAATCCTCCCTGGAGTTGTGCAAGGCAAAGGAATGGCTTATTTCACAGGATCTTCTGGGAAGAAAATGAAAATTATACTCACTGTCCACAGTAGTGTAGGTAACATTGAAACCTGCTCTTTCTACATACATGTCAGTGACGAACTTAATGGTCAAGAAGTTGTCAGTAGAAAGAAAAGGAGCTGGAACTCTGGAGCCACAAAACTTGCCAACAACTGTAGCATTTTCATTACTACCATCGAACAGCTAAAAGACAAAACAGAAACATAACTTCTCTATAGCATGATATGTGCATGAGCTGAACAGTTAAAAGCTATGGGAATGATTGGTGGAAGGAGTTCAAGTGTTCAGTTTGGTGACTGATGTCTCATAGGGTGTCTTACAAATGCAAGAACTACTACAACTGATAGCTCAGCTGGTTAGAGTGCGGTGCTGATAACACGAAGGTCACAGGTTCAATCTACATATAGGGCAGCTGCATATTCCTGCACCACAGGATGTTGAACTAGATGATCGTAGACCACAATTCTAGGGTTCTATGAATTGTTGTTGTTGTTGTTAATTCAAATCAAAATAATGGTCAGGTTAAGGTGTAACCTTTTATCCAGATGCTCTGTCCTTGCATCACCCCTTCCCTCTTCTCTTTTTGGTGCACTGCAATTCAGCTAACTAACCATAGTTTCCTGTTACATCCAAGGCAGGAAACCATGGATATAAGGTTTGGCGCAAAGCAGGATTGGAGCCCAGAGTTTTGTGTTTGTTTAGGAGGCTATTCCTTGTAACCATTCTTGCACAGTTTGGACATAATGGGAAATTATGGTTATGTAGCCCAGGAAGCCTTCAATCATAGCATGCCAAGATGGGAGGCGAAATGGAGCAGAACGAGAATCAAGCAAGCAGACAAAGACTCATATCTTAAGAAACCAAGATATGCAAGTCCAAATGGAATCCATTTCTGTCCAAATGTAATCAATTTCATGTAAAGAAGGAAGTCATTTTCAACTGAACATTTAGTTACATGTTCACTATCTTACTGAACTTGAATTAGCCTTTGCTTTGCTTTTTCTTTGCAAACCTTCAGGACATGTCTGTTTAGAGTCATATAAAACTATTTATTATATTTCCTTTACCCCTGCTGTAAGGTAGATTTTGAATGAAAAGAAATAAGGGAACAAAAGTTATTTTCTAGCCTATGGTCAAAACACAGCAAAGAGAGTGCCTTGCATTTCTTGATTAGCACACACTGATCTTACTTGGACATAGTCATAGCGGCAGTTTTGAACAGACGATTCTGCTTCCAGTTGAAAAGTGTTAAAGGTGAGATTGATCAGCTTGTTTATGGGGGCAGCTATAACCCACACACATTCAAGATCTTTGTCATATTTGCCATCCATGTCGGAGTCTGGTGAGCCAAAGCTGTCACTTGAATTTGTCAGGTAACCACCGCAGCCTTGCTGAGGGCCTGTTAAAAAGAGAGATCTGTCATCTACTGCATGTTTCATAGCAGTATTTTAAAGGATGTTCTGTATTTTTTTGATCATATCACTTTTCCTATTCCTGTCTTGATGCTTACTGTCAACCATGGGCATTTGGGAGCTGAACTGCATCATTTTAATGCTTTGCACAGCTTTTTTTTGTTTTCGTTTTGTTAAACTAAGCCCTTTCCACACAATATGTTCAATATGTGGACAGCAGAATCTCACACGCTGCCATTGCTTCCAGACTCCATACACAAACTATTCATACTATTCACTAAACGCGAGAAGATTGAAGCAAAATTTCCTTTAAACCCTTCCCACATTATATTCAATGTAATGTGTGAAAGTGGGGGTGGATATGTCAGGAGGTGGCTCCAATGCTACCAACAGGACTGATTATTTGATAAGAGGCAAAGAATGCCCCAGGGACGTGGGTGGCGCTGTGGGTTTAACCACAGAGCCTAGGACTTGCCGTTCAGAAGGTTGGCAGTTCGAATCCCTGGGACGGGGTGAGCTCCCGTTGCTCGGTCCCTGCTCCTGCCAACCTAGCAGTTCGAAAGCACATCAAAGTGCAAGTAGATAAATAGGTAAACAGCGTTTCCATGTGCTGCTCTGGTTCGCCAGAAGTGGCTTAGTCATGCTGGCCCACATGACCCGGAAGCTGTACGCTGGCTCCCTTGGCCAATAAAGTGAGATGAGCACCGCAACCCCAGAGTCAGTCACGACTGGACCTAATGGTCAGGGGTCCCTTTACCTTTAAAGAATGCCCCAGCTGCATAAAGAAAGAGCACAGCTGGCTGCCCTTTCCAGGACAGTCCCAAAATGCAGAGGGAGAGAAAGCAGAGAGAAGCAATAGCTTTGGCGAGAGGGGAGCCAGAAAAGTAGAGGAGAGAGAAGGAAAGCAGGAGATTGGACGGATATATTTATTTCACATTTATATGCCACTTGATTGTAACAAAACCTCATTGCGGTTTACAAAAAGACAGAGGGAGGGTGGAAGAAAGAGGGACAAAAGGGGGAGCAGTGTGAAGTGGGGGGGGGGTAACTGGTGGGGAGCTTTGCCCCAGAGGGCAAGGGACAGAAAAAGCAGGAGTTGGTAAGGAAAGTGTGCAGACCAGGCAAAAACTCCTAGTGGCAGATTTAAGGGAGTCGAGAAGGGAGTCTATCAGACGGGGTGCTAAAGGAAGGCTGCGGGAGTGCAACAAGGACTAGTTGCCTTGAGAAACAAAGCACGCAAACCGAAGGGTTCAGCGATTGCCCGTCAATGATAAAAGAATACATAAAAAGTAAGTAAAAGCAACATACATCTTATCATGTCAAAGGTTGTATTTTTTAAAAAAACAGTAGGTGGAGCTGTGTCTTTGTCTTCAGCCCACAAGGACTAATATTCCTAGATTCTGTTAAAGTCGTTGGGATGTTAAAAAAAAGAAGCACTTACATTTGTATGCAAACACCTAATTGCTCAGTCAATAGAGCATGAGACTCTTGATCTCAGGGCCATGGGTTCAAGCCCCATTTTGGGCAAAAGATAGTATTATTATTATTATTATTATTATTATTATTATTATTATTAATAATAATAATTTATTATTTGTACCCCGCCCATCTGGCTGGGTTTCCCCAGCCACTCTGGGCGGCTTCCATAGAAACAAAAAATACAGTAAAATATCACAGATTAAAAGCTTCCCTGAACAGGGCTGCCTTAAGATGCCCTCTAAATGTCAGGTAGTTATTTATTGCTTTGACATCTGATGGGAGGGCATTCCACAGGGCGGGCGCCACTACCGAGAAGGCCCTCTGCCTGGTTCCCTGTAGCTTTGCTTCTCGCAATGAGGGAACCGCCAGAAGGCCCTTGGCACTGGACCTCAGCGTCCGGGCAGAACGATGGGGGTGGAGACGCTCCTTCAGGTATACTGGGCCAAAATTAATTAAAATAATAATTATTATTTTAATTATTATTATTATATACCCCACTCATCTGGCTTTCCTGCATTGTAGGGGGTTGGACTAGATGACCCTCTTGGTCCCTTCCATTTCTACTATTCCACGATTCTTTGTGGCCAGGTGATCAGAAATTCTGAGTGCATGAAATCTGCATCAGTATCAGGTCCTTATAATGATCAGTTCAAAATGGGTATATTTTTTGCTTGGCTGCATTTTTTTAAAAGGAAAAAACCCCAACATTATGCAAAAGGATACTTCATCATAATGAACTTGGGATGCTGATAAACCAAAGTAAAAAGATCTGCTGAGATTGGATGCAATGGCTGACATGCCTTAATAAACCAATTAGTGAAACTGTTTTGTTATTTATTTATATACTCTTTTTCCTCCTATGATGAAACTCAAGGTGGCAAAGAGCCCAGGCAAGCTCTCATCACCCAAGTACTGGCCAGACTTGTTGGGCTTCAACAAGGTAACTGCATCATGTGTCTTCCAACCATGGTTCTGATGGCATTTCCCTGCGTAACATATGCCTAAGAATCAATGAATCTCTGTAGCCAAGCCATAGGCTTGGACACACAAATATACATGTGGAGGGATCATGCTATATAGCTGGGCATCCTGGAAAATTTCACAGCAAGAGCTGTGTAGGGCCTTTCTAGAGAGCACAGGATTAAGTCAGAGCTGCTGCAATGCCATTCTCCTAGGGATGGCTGGATCAGTCCATTTCTTGATTGCATCCACTTCACATGTGTGTATTTTGCATTAGTTGGTTCTGCCCCATTTCTGCATCAATTTGAAGCTTTTTTTAAAAAAAAAAGTGTGAAAATTTGCATTTAATTATTCCGTATCAGAATCTGTATTTAAATATGTACTGCATCATAAAACAAACATTTAAATGCATATTTGAGATCAATGTGTGCATTTCAGTCTAAAATGCATTTTGGTACTTTTTAAATTTGAGAATAGTGTCACAAAACTTGGAGGACTATGGCCAGGTGGTGCAAATTCAGTTGGGTTTGCTTAAAAATGTGGAGTGGACAAAATTATACTACATCCCTAAACACCCCTGCACCCAGATGCTTTTTCATTATACACACCTGGAGGACCAACAAGCTCCTCCCACCCCCACTTTGGTTGATTTGGATAAAGGCCTTACTGTGGATTTTGAAATTTTATAAAATGGAATAATTGAAAGAGTGTGTAGAGCTCCTTCTGAGCCCCAAACTGTGCAAACTGGAACAACAATATTACCTTGTATCTTTTGCACATAATGTTTCTGCTAATGTAACCCATTGCAAAAATGTGCCTTTCTTGTGACAATCTCTCACTGCTGACTTGGCTTGAAATGATGGGAGGAGGTTTGAAGCCAAATATTGAGCAGTGTGATTTTTGCTTAAATGTAGTGCTTGTATGCTGTGACAGCAGTATTAGTGCAACAATATTTCTGGCTCAAATGAGATAATTGCAAAAGCAGCAGCAGCAGCAGCAGCAGCGAAATTGATAGAATTACAGACACAACATCGGTTGGAATGGCACCAGCAATCATGAAGGGATGAAATATGAGAGAGTCACATCTAAGGCAGAGGTTTTCTCTCCATTCAAAGCATGAATGATATTCAATCCATTCAGCTTCGCTGGAGATAACTGTAAATACTTGCACTTAATTATAAACAGATCTCTGGTACGGAACTAAGTCAACATGTCGAGCCATATGTAGAATATCACTTCTCAATAGCTCATGCTTTGTTATGTTCTCTTTGCCCCTCATCAACATTAAAAAGGTGCCAGGATAACACAACAAAACCCAGAAAGAAAAACACCCAAACTAAAAAAAAAAAACAACAGGTAGAGAAATCAGACAAATCTGAATCCTGGGTAGCCCAATTAACTGATACCTCCAACCAACTAGTGAACTTTAGCCTGTATACTTGGGCTATGTACTTGTTTAGGCTGATTCCCAAGCCAAATTGAGAGGGATCTGGGCATTGACTGGGCAGCCCAGAGCAATTTGGGCCTGTCAGAGGGTGGGGCATCAGGTAGGGAGGGAAGGGGTGACTAAAAGAAAGGACTACTGGGCCTTCAAAGGAGAAGGTAGGGGTGGGTGGGTGTGCTCAATTTCTCCTTCTTCTGACTCCCTGAATCAACACCACACAGGATTAAATCTTCCTGCTTACTATGAATAAGCAGGAAGTTTTCATCCTGTGCAGTGCTGGTTACTACTGCTTTGCAATGTTCCCTTCCAAGTGTCAGAGACCTGGCTGAGGAGTACAGCTCTGAGGAGGAATGGTGGGAGCCTCCCCCTCCCCCTGCTCCTGTCCAGGATCCTGAAACTGTCCAGGAGCAGTGGAGCAGTATAGATTTGGAACAGTGGTTTGCAGAGGGGCATAGTTCTGAAGACAAAAGTTGGGAAGAACTGGGGGGTGAACAGCAAAGTGAAGAAGAATAGGAAGAGAGAGGGCTAACAGACTCTCTCTTGCTGGAAAGTATTCAGCCTATCTGTCCAAGGTCACGTAGAGCACAAAACACAAGGTGGTTGCAAGATCAGGTTGCAAGATGGAAGTGACTAGGGGGGAAGTGGGTGGAATCCTTCATTGGGAACACCTTCCTCCAAAAATGGATGCTTTGTTCTTTTGCTGTGATCATTAAAGACTCTTTGGTAAGGTACTCCTTTCGCTTTGCCCTGCTTATCTACGGCCAAAGGGGGGGGGGGGAAGGAAGCCAAGTCCCAGGAGCCTGACACCAAGCCACTGCCTTCCTACATTTCCCCCTCCTTTGGTTTGGATTTTCAAAGACCTTATCTTTCTCAGTGCATGCCTGGTAAGAGAAAATCTGGATTGAAGGAGAAAGTATGGGAGCAAAGTGATCTGGAGGAGAACTCATATGGACAATGGATAATAAATGGAGGTATAGAAGCTTACCATCCACATTAAATGAGAGTATTGATGAGACCCTACTGATGCAGTATCCCTAATAAAAAGAAGTTGTTTTGATTAAATTGCATGATGATGTTTCTTCTCAATTTTTTCTAATTAATTCCTATAGCTTCTTTTCATGTCAACAAAATGCTCATCAATAATAATAATAATAATCCAGAAAAGATGAAGTAGAGATAACCTTATTTTGGATGACATTTGTGCAAAAATTGTAAGTAACCATTGATGAAAAGGGGCAGGATTTTGAAGGAAGGAAATCAGGAATGTTTAGATTGCTCCAAATGAGTTTACCATTTGTGTTCACCTCCTTCCAAGATTTAATTAGGGCTACCCACAACATTAAGCAGAACACAGTAATCACATTAGCCAATCTCACTTCACTAACACTGCCAGGGTGGTGTACACTTGTTAAACATTAATGAAGAATTGCGTTTCACATTTGGCCTGTGGAAGCTGCACTAATACAACACCTCTTGACCTTTCTGTTCTGGCGGATGAGATGGAGCTCCTTTCACAAGATTAATTTCCCATGAGTTTTCTGGCTTTATCTGATTTAGATCTGCCTTCATCACCAAAGTGCCCTGCTGATGTTCAGGACTGCCACACCCATCAGCCTCAGTCAATGCAGTTCTGCTGGTTGGAGCTGATGGGCATTGAAGTCTGATGCATCTGGAGGGCACCTGGTTGGTGAAGCCTGATCTAGATTTAAGCAGAGTTCTTTAGCCTATCTTTGAGGGAGGGAGGGAGAGGAGAATCCAGAATCCAACCTTCCTCCAAGAGGAAGCAGCACTTTAATTTCACAGTGACCTTGTAATATAGAGAAGGTGGCACTCCAGATATACTCATTATCCCTATATTCCTTTTAGATCAGTGCTTCTCAACCTGTGGGTCCCCAGATGTTGTTGGACTACAACTCCCATCATTCCTAGCCAGCATGACCAGTGGTCAGGGATGATGGGAGTTGTAGTCCAACAACATCTGGGGACCCACAAGTTGAGAACCGCTGTTTTAGATGGTATCAAATTAAAAACAGCTGCCAGCTGTGGTGTGTGCACGTGTACAATGGCTGAGTGTTAAGGATATTTCTGCTATGTCACAAATGCTTTATGACAAAGTGACAAAAAGTTAAGGGAGTTACTTCCGTCCACCCACCCACCCCACCCTGCAAAACCCCAATGAATTACCAAAAGAAGAACAGGTAGGTAGCTATTTTCAGCGTATCACTGATCTATTCAACTGTCATAGGAAGGCTGAATTAAAGTCGGTATAATTAACATTAAAGGTAAAGGGACCCCTGACCACTAGGTCCAGTCGTGGCCGACTCTGGGGTTGCGGCGCTCATCTCGCTTTATTGGCCGAGGGAGCCGGCGTACAGCTTCCGGGTCATGGGGCCAGCATGACTAAGCCACTTCTGGCGAACCAGAGCAGTGCACGGAAACGCCGTTTACCTTCCCGCTGGAGCGGTTCCTATTTATCTACTTGCACTTTGACGTGCTTTTGAACTGCTAGGTTGGCAGGAGCAGGGACCGAGCAACGGGAGGTCACCCCGTCGTGGGGATTCGAACCGCCGACCTTCTGATCAGCAAGCCCTAGGCTCTGTGGTTTAACCCACAGCGCCATCCGCGTCCCTTAATTAACATTAGG